TATATATATTTCTAATCTCCTCCTTTCCCTTCCCATTGCAATTTTCCGACAAGCCAAACACCCCTTAATTTCCCCTTCCAATTTCTCACAAATCCCATCCAATTAACCTTCAATTCCTTCCTAGGGTTTCCTTTACCTCAATTTCCACAATTCACTTTCAATTCCCATGAAATGATCCAAAATTCTCACGACAACGATTCTTCCTCCAAGTCAGTAAACGAAACGGTAAATGGGTCTCACCATTTTACCATCAGGGGTTATTCTCTGGCCAAAGGAATGGGCCCTGGTAAATACATATCTAGCGACATTTTTACCGTAGGTGGTTATGATTGGGCCATTTATTTTTACCCAGATGGTAAAAACATAGAGGATTCTTCTGTATATGTATCTGTTTTTATCGCATTGGCTAGCGAAGGCACTGATGTTAGGGCNTTTTTGAATTTTATTTGATTCCAAGCTTGGATAAAGTAGGAGGGATGTTGCACCCAAGGGTGTGGCCTAATGGTCAATGAAGTGGGTGGGAACCCTGAGTTGAGACCTCAACGGAGTCAAAAAAATGCTAGGTGATTTTTTCCCACCTGTCCAAGCCTTAGTGGACATAGTTACTTGATACTTGTTGCTGGTGGGAGATGGCAGGTATCCCGTGGACTTAGTCGAGGTGCGCGCAAGCTTGCCCGGATACCACGATTATTAAAAAAGAAAACTAGAAGGTTTTTTGTAGATTCACAGTTAGTGTTAAAATTGTTTAGCAATGGTGCTTTACTGAATTTGATCTTTGGTCCCTGGTAATAATGTCAAATTTTGATCTCAACGCTTGTCATTGACGTGAGAATGGCCACAATCCTATTTATAAATATCAGCTAACTTGGAAAATACATTTACTCGCAAGTGCACCAGTAACTACTTTATGGCTGTTGTTTAAGACATAGCCAACATTGCAATGTATTTGAGACACAACTTAAAAAGAGTGGCAGATACCTGCTTATTCGAACTTCAAAACTGTGTCCTGAAGTCCAGTTCTTGCAGTTCATATTTCAGGCCACTGTGTTTCTGAAATCTGTGTTGTTTTTCTCTCTTTTGGCTGTTATGGTTTTCTCTATGCCCAATGTGCATAAATGTATTGATTTGGGTGCCAGATATTGGGGAGTACATTCTTGAGTTTATGATGATGCATGTCCCGTCCAAACCTTTACCTTGGGGTAGATAAAATAAAATAAGTCTATGGTACTTTTATACAATAAAGGAAAAGTCTTTGATGCCATTGAAGTATTAAGACTGGGTTAATTATTATTTATTTCTTTATTTATGACATGGTGTCACTAATTTGCATAGCCCAGAACCCCAAGTTCTTGTTAAACCTACTGACTCACATTGAGGATTATAGTTGGGATTGAATTAAATGGATAGATTATGAGAACATACCGAAGTTTAACTGGAGTAACATGGTCGGTGAGGATTTATATAGTGGACCCCTACTTGTTTGGGACTGAGCATAGTAGTTGTTGTTGATGATGTCTTGATGATGATGAGAACATATCGAAGGATCCATCTGTCTAGTTTTATTCATTAAAAACTCAATGATTGCTTAGATAACTGACTCTCCTGTGTTTGGTGATCAGCTACATGAGTGACCTCATCTCCTCTCCGTTGTGTTACTTCCAAATAACTGTTCAGTGATGGATCCACCATTTATTTGTCGCTAGTAGCCCTTTATGCTCTGTGCCTCAGTGGAAGAAATTGTTCGTTTGCGCCTGGTGTATTTTCTTGTGTAAAATATGATAATGCTGACATATTGTGAGTATTCTCTGTAACAAGTGGGTCTTAGATAAAACTCAAGAAAGTTCACCGAATTTCTAGTTTGAAAACTGTATTAGCTTTTCAATCTGAGCTGTTGAAATACATTTAGAACTTTTTCTTTTACTGGTCATCATCAGAACTTCTTGTCTGTATTTACAGGGGTTACAAACGATTTTTCAAAAGAATAAATTTAGAAACTTCTGACTACCTGAAGGATGATTGCCTTGCCATGCACTGTACTGTTGGAGTTGTCAGAAGTCGCGTTGAAGGGCCCAAAGATTATAGTGTTGTAGTTCCACCATCAGACATGGGCCAAAATCTCAAATACTTGTTGGATGCTGAACTTGGTTGTGACATAGTTTTCCAGGTTGGAGAAGAGACATTTAAGGGTCATAAGTTGATACTTGCTGCTCGGTCTCCTGTGTTTAGAGCCCAATTCTTTGGCCTTATTGGGAATCCTAATACAGACAAAGTAGAACTTGAGGATATTGAACCCTCAATCTTCAAGGTAATTAGTTCGCGCTTTAATACACATGATTCTTCTGCTGTATGAACTTATGAAGAAACATATATAATTAAAGGAAGGTAAAAGATGGAGAATTTGAAAGATGAAAGGTCTTTTCGTTTTAGGCACTTCCCAAAATTTTGAGGTTCAACTGTTTAAGGATTTTTCTTTTAGGGGGACAAGGTGGGTGGGGATGAAAGCAACTGGTTTATAATATATTGCATTGTTCCTTCTCAAACGTTAGCTTGTAATACTTTTGGCATTCATTTTTTCTGAATCAGCATGTAGCAATATGATGCGTAGGCTGAGATTTTGATCGGAATTTGTTAGAACACTAATGTTTGTGTGAGCTAAGCATTTTCTATACATTTACCATCTTTGACTTAGTTGGTATCACTATGTTTTAGATAGTCCTTTGGTATGCTGAGCTTCTTCTGTGCGTCTGTTTATAAAGGACATAGAAAAATATAAAGCTAGCAAGTATTTAGCTCCCCTTAAGTTTTAGTCTCACACTCTTCTTGTTCTACGGTCATGGTCTTGCACCTTAGCTTCTCAAACTTGCGTTTCTTTCCATGTTGGTTGTCTGTAGTTTTCAATATAAAAAATTTACATGTAACTTGCCCCAACCTTGCAGTCCTTTCTTAGAAGCTGATATGATTTAGGTGGACTTCTTTTCGTTTTGTAGGCTATGCTCCAGTACATTTATTCTGATGAGCTGCCAGATTTAGTTGAAATTACCGGCTCTACTTCAACATGCACTTCTACGATATTGATGCAGCATCTATTGGCAGCAGCTGATCGCTTTGGTTTAGATAGGTTGAAAGAGTTATGTGAGGTGAAATTGTGTGAAGAAGTTAATGTGGATACAGTGGCAACAACTCTTTCCCTTGCTGAGCTGCATTGTTGCCCACAGCTCAAGGCCATCTGTTTGAAATTTGCAGCAACAAACTTGGGAGGTGCGTGTACTCCATAGATGTGAGCGGTGAGGTATTTCAAGTCATGTCATTTTTAGTTTTTCTTAGTTAATTTAACTGCAGACATGTTTTTAACTCTGCTTGTTTATGTCAGTTTGTATGGCAAATTTTATATCTTCCAGCTTAAATGTAAAGCCAGGAATATGGTTGTTTTCCAGTCTATGGTGATAGTCTCTTGAACTACTATGATAAGGTCCTAGCTCTTGTATAAATGGATGATTTTAGCTCTAACTTGGTTGCCAAAGGTTCAAAGTTTATAGAGATGGGTATCTTATTTGTGTATCATTGAGGCAGTTTCTTTTTCGACCTTAGTCAAAATGCACTTTAGAGATGCTGGTGGAGTATCTCAAGTGAGGTTCCTTGCGCAAAGCAACTCCTATTATTTGATCTGGGCTTTCCAATCAGTTAGTTGATGCCTAGCTTGGAAAACATGAGAGAGTATTTGAGTGGTTTTGGCTTCTTTAGTTATCATCCGTTGGAAACAAAATACTTAAACCAAAAATTGTATGTTGAAAGAACATTCAGATTTGACAGGTGGTGGGTTTTGCTTATGTTACGACTTACAACATTGAGTCTCTGATGCCCATTTTGCTTAGATTTGCATCCTCAATTTCAATTGACAAAAGGAAACATGGGAAGTGATACAATGTGTAGTATTAGATAAAGTCTGCTGGTTCATGCAAAGTTTCAAATAATGGGTAGAGTAGCAATAATCTCCTGCCATTTCATTATATAGACACCGCGAACGGAAATGTTATATTGGATATTTGGTAAATCAATAATGATAAAGTAGCTTTCCTTTTCATACACAGTGGCTTTTAACCATGGAAAAGGGCTGGCTTCTATGTTAACGATGCATGCTTTACAGCAAATGATGGGAGATAATGTAATTTCTATTTATTTGGGCCCATGTATGTCGGTAAATGTTCTAGTGTTCAAAACTTTAGGCGCATGGGGCTTTATTGCCATATGGTGCTGAATGTGGTATATAACTAGGAGAATTATGGATCAACAGAATTTGGAATTTGAGTAGTTGAACTAATTGTTTATGAGTGTTGTTGGTTCATGTCAGTCCATTATGTTTATGATCTTTTAAATGTTAGGGGTGAAGTTCTAAAAACTGGCCTCACACGTGTTGCACATTCTTGGTTTTGTGCAACGTTCACTATATTTTGAAGCATGTGCTAGCCAGGATAAGATACTATGGGATCTTCTGGCTATTTTCATGTAGTTGCTAAGTTATTTGATTTTGTGTTTGTTAAACAGTGGTCATGCTGACAGAAGGATTCAAGCACCTAGAAGAAAGTTGCCCCTCACTGTTGTCTGAGCTGCTGGAAACAGTTGCATCAGTCGACCAGAAGGCAAGTCTGATGTGCAAGAAAAGGAGTAGCAGCAGCATCATCGGTCTAGCTCTGGCTGCAGATGGTGTGGCAGCAGAATCTGTTAATCCTGTCGTTAGGCGGGTGAGAAGGCGGATGTAACCTTAAACTATAGCCTTGGAAGTGGAATGAAGTTAGCTGGTTGAAAATGTGATACTGGAAAACGCAAGTAATGATTAGTTAATTTCTTGTTACCTGATTTAGGAACAGTTCCTATGATCTGAATGATGATAACTTGTAATGGTAGCATCATTGTGTTCTGTATCATCTATTATTCCAGACAACCTAAGGTAGGTTAGGTGGTAAGTAAAGTTTATTGTTGTATTTTTTACTACTTGAGCTTATATGAGAGACAATATGAACGAATATGTATAGAGTTCTCCCCGATAAGCTATTAGTGTGTTGATGTCCACCTTCTTGTGTGTGATTGAATATGTTTTGATCCGTTTATGTTTAAAAATGGTTTATGCAATTGCAGCCAATAAAAGCTCAAAGGAGTATTTGCGAACTCGGTTTTTAAAATTTTCAACAAACGCATACAAGCTCCTATAGGCAATAGAGGAAATAATCTCCTATAATATGTTACAATTTGAGACGATTACAAAAAAACTTGTGTGTTTTTTTCATCGATAGACCATTTGTGTCATACTAACGCGAATCTATGATTTTTAAAATTGGGGCACCACTAAAAAAAGCGAGAAAAAAATACTAAGTGGGAATCAATCTAGGTTCCTTTGGATAAATAACTCAACATTTAATCAAGTGCAGAGCATGAATGCCAACATATAATATTAGATCTATTTTACAAATTATATACATAAAATACCTAATTTGACAGAAACATCATACGTTCACGTGCACCATAAGAAGGGCCTAAATCCGCCCCCAACACTGATCCAGTCCTTTCAGAATCAACCACCCGATTCTAGGGCCCAATAAGCCCAATCATTGTACTCCTTGTACCACAAACAATGGAATCATCCCATCAAATGATTAATGAGAAAGATCTGTATAATAATCAAGTAGGGCTCGGGGCAGTCTTTGAAGTGCTTGATATTTGGAAGAAATTTGAGAACTTAATAGTAGTTTTTTTAAAATTACGTGTTTTCTGAGGCTAAAATGTTACATACCTTAAAAATAGATGGTTTTGATTTTTATTTCCGCTTGTTCCATGCAGAGGCAGACCCAGAATTTGAAGTTGGCGGAGGCACATGAGCGAAGTGCTCAATCAGTGACTTTTAATCTTAAGGGTTCCCAGCAATATGACCGTTTTCAAAATATATACACTTATATATTCAGAATTTTTGCCAAAGTTAACGGGTACGATGACCCCTTTTTTACATGCATAAGTCCGCCTCTCGCTCTATGGACAAATTTTTAAGGTCAAAAGTCAAAAATATTGCCAATGAGACCAGCAATACTTATTAAATTTGAAGTTCTGCCCGGCGCAAGTGAGATTCCAAAATCAAGAGTCATACCGACGTGTGGCTTTTCCGGATCCGTACTCTCTTGTCAATGAAGTGAAGTTGTCTATAGCAGTCTTGAAATCATGAGCCTCTCAGGTTATTTGGGTCGGTAGGCCAACCTATGGCCTTACAGATCTTGCAATTGTCCCATCAATACTGCTCATTGGCCTTTCTTTTACCACTTTACCAAGGAGAAAGAATGCAGATTTGCGCCGCATAAGATTTCATCAAAGGAAAAACACTTGCTACCAATAACAATGGTCGTGTTAATTTTACGTATGATCATGTACAGAAAAAAGCTAATAAAAATACCAAAATAGTGAACTTTCTAGTAGAGCATTTGCCCTAGACCGCAAGTAGTGACGGATCTAAAGTATAGTATATGGGGTCCCAGAAATTCAGTAATTTTTTAGGCGACCCTATATTTCTATTAAAAATTTATTAAATATCTATAAATATCTAACCGTGAACTCAATTATTATTGTATATTAATTTGATATTGCGACAGGAACCCATAAATTTTAAATTGTAAATCCGCCTCTGATTACAAGGAGATGTTGAGAATTGTCAAAACTAAACCGGAAAAAAAGTGTAAAGAGTACCTTCCAATGAATAACCTCTCACGGGTATAGATGGATGAGATCCTACACCTTAATAAGAGATTCCAGTTCGAGCTTTGATAATAGATAAATTCTAGTTAGGAAATACTCTCTTTAATTGATTCTATACGATTTAAATTTAAAGTAATCAGATCAATAAATATTGCTCTTCTGAATGAATGGCATAAGGTAGAGTAGTAACACCTCATCATAAATCTGCCCACACCTGGGATAGATGGTGGTAGGCGCAAATAGCACATATCTTCTTTTTTTTTTGAACGTAAAGGAAGCTTATATTACTTAAACAAAAGCATTACATAGTCCTAACATAATCCCGTAGGATATTGCCATTGTTTATAGCCGCAAGACTATTACAAACATTAGTAGGTAAATACTTAGTACCATTACATAATCCTTGCTTGTTTCTATTTAATTCGGGTTCAACAAAAAGTGGGGGATGAGCAAGGTAAACACATCTAATAGGCTTGAAGTGACTAATGACTTCCTTTGCTAGTTGGTGTGCTACTCCATTTCCTTCTCTAAAGTTATGTCTGATTGCCGGGACTCTCAGTTGGCGCATTAATAACCTGTAATTGAGCAAAGTGTTGTTAGCTAAATCGTTATCCTCATTTAGCAGTTTGATCATCTCTGAGGAGTTAGTTTCGATCTCTATTTGAGGGAACATCATCTCTACTGCAATTTTAACCCTTGCTCCAATGCTAGCAGTTCCGCCCGTTATGAATTCGCTGCATAACAAGATTTATAAAAGCCCAAAATTCAGTATCCGTTGTTTTTCTAAAAACTCCTCTTATACCTGCTTTTAGATTAGCTTTTAAGAACGCTCCATTAATATTAAGTTTGACTGTGTTGTGATGAGGCTTTAGCTATTTGATATCTATTTTAATCTTAGTTTTAAGAGGGTTTGTTTCGGTGAAGAAATTATGCTCCCAAGCTTATTGGAGGACTTTAGAGGCATTCAAATCAAGATCAAGATTGCTACAATTATTGTTGTTTCTATTTTTCCAAAGGTTCATATGGTAAAGGAAAAAATATTTTCCCAATGGTTAGTATGATTACTAGGTTGCACCCCTGATTTTTTAAAGAGATTAGCAGGTGGGGCACTTGTGATCTATGTTCATACCAATATGGTGCAGGAAAGCTCTATACGGTTATGCAGGTATTGCCAAAAGAAGTATTTTATCTTGTTTGGGCAGTAAAGTTTCCTTATCCAAGAGAAATCCAATTCGAGGATAGTTTTAGGATTGAGAAGTATATAACAAAATTTGATTGTAAAATTTCCACAGCTACTAGATGCCCAAGTCACATAGTCCTTTAAAAGATAATTAATAGGGATTGGTGTAGCATTAATCTTAGTAACAATAGAAGGTAGAAGAACAAAAGAAATTTTGTATGTATCCCACCCATCTCTATTTATTAAGTCTTGTAATCCTTCAAATACACCGATCCTTTGATACTGCTTAATTAGAAAGAATATACTCTGTCGCAATTTATTTAATAAGCACTATTTGACTGGGACATAATTCAAAATTATATAGAAATTTTGATACTAATAAAGTATACATCAAATATCAAGAGTAATATTTTAGTGGCATCCAAAATAAATTAATTATACAAACTCCTATAAGAATGTTGATATTAAATGATTTAAAAGAGCATACATGATTAGATGTTCAAATGGCTTGGCTGATATGACATTTTACCAAGTTTGAGAGCTTGTCATCAATGTATCACATCGAATGACATAGAAGTTATTCTACTACTTTTTCTAAATTTAACTTCTAGTTGGCATTGATCAATCATATTAATCGTGAGATATGCAGTGACCCGTTCTCCTATTTGTGAATGGCTGGCCACAAGCAAAACCACAAGTAATATATAACAAAAACTCTTGAATTTTTTCAGAAGTTTTCTTACAACCTAGGGAGACATGCTAACAATATCTTAAGGTAGGTACCACTTAAAAAAAAAAAAAAAACATACCCGGTCTATTCTCTCACAAATGGGATCTAGAGAAGGTAGTGAATATGCAGGGCGGAGTTAGACTATAACTTACTAGTTTGGTCGAAACCAAAAAAGCTTTGCTCGAAACTTTGGCTTAAGAAATCTGTTGAATATGTATAAATTATTAATTTTAAACTCGATAACTTAAAAGGATTAGAATTTCGTACCCATAAATTTCAAATCCTACCTCCGTCTCTGTGTGTATGTAGACCTTATCCCCAGTGACGGAGGCAGGATTTTCGCTAAGGGGTTCAAAAAAAGAAAAAGTTAAACCATTAAAAGAGATTGTGGCCAGTGAGAATTGAACTAGTGACCTCACAAAGGTTTTGACCCCCCTTGACTACTAAGTTATACTTTTGGGTTATTTCAAGGGGATTCAAAATATAATATATAGAGGTAAAAAACAGATTTTACTTTATGATGCACATTATAATTTTTCGGCGGGAGGGGGTTCCCGCCCCCTAAATCTATCTCTGCTTACCCCTACTTTATGAAGATAGAGATATTATTTCTGATAGACCCTCGACTTAAAGAAAAATATTTCAACTATTATTTGAAAAAGAAAAACAGTAGTAAAAAAGTCAAATTCAAAAAAATAAAGACTAAAACGATAACAATAATAAAATAACAAAATAATAAGATAATTAAAGCAAAGAAAATTATATGTATAAAATAGTCGGCTTGAGACGTGACATTATTTTACAAGGAAAATACAGCCTTTCGGCAATCGGCAGTAAGGGTGGCCGGTGGAGGGTGGTGCTTGTTGCCTAAATTATACATAAAGTAAATAGTTAATACTTCAGCTATGTTATTTTATTTGATAAATTATTTATTTTGGAGTAAAAAAATGCTGACATATTTTCTTGTTTTTATAATACTTTTACAACTTTGAAGAACTCCAAAAGTCACTAATTAAACTCATCAAATTTTCAAACTTTGATATAATTTTTAACCATCAAACAAATTTTGGTACTCCCTCCGTCTCAAATTATCTGTCGTGTTTCTATTATATACTCTCTTAAAAAAATATTAAATATGAGAAATTTTTTACTGTTTTACTCTTATTTATGTCTTAAGATATAATATCTCTTCATTTAATATTTACTCATAATTATTTGTAGTCTTCAAGACTAATTAATATTAATGGTAGAATAGAAAAAAGATAATTATTTTAGTCTTGAACTTTTAAAATGACAAATAATTTGAGACAATTATTTTTAAAAATCACGACAGATAATTTAAGACGGAGGGAGTAATAAATTTTCTTTTAATAGAAAGTGTTTTCTCCTTATATGAATCAAACGCGAGGAAAGTTAAATCAGTGGAATTTGTTATAAAATAAAGACA